AAAATGCCTGGACTCTTTAAAAGGCTCTAAATCATAACAATTACAACATAAATTTGGTACATAATGGTAGTACTGTACATTTGTCCATTCATCCTTTCTTTCAATAATTCAGCTGTAAATATAAGACATAGAAGGGCACCTGTATCTGGATCTAGGTGGAAGCCTGTTGTGAAATAGAAATTTGGCAATGACTTAACAAATTCTAAAAATGAAAAATATTCTTGCTTATCATAATATATGTGCTTAATTATTTTCTTAATCTAAATAGAACATCCTTTTCCTGTATCACAGTATTACAAGAAATTAATTAATTTCCTAGTTAATAACTTCTTCCCATCCTCTGTTTTGTGTATTCAGCCATTTTTTCTGTCATAAAGCATTCTCATAAATTTGTTGTACAAATGGACTTAAGGTCTGTTGTTAATCATTTGGGTGACACATAAAATTAAAACATTTCGCTATTATGAAATAAACATTTTATTTACTATAAAATGGTGACATACCTAAAAAAAACAGAGCAAAAAAATAAATGATTTCCTTATAGTGTCATGTACCTGCCAAAAACATTGTCAAGGTTACACATGCATCTGTTTACAGGAAATTGGTATGAATTTAGGATATGGGTAATGTCATGCATTGTGTTTTATTCAATAACAGTCATCCATCATTGTATGAGTTATATGAATAAGAAATAAAATATTCTTCTATGTTTTACCTGGAGAAAGGTCAGTCTGCTTGGTTCAGTATGGGAGAGCATTGGATTTGTAATCAAGAAGTGACTTAAGTTAGTCACATGTAAGGCAAAATTTCTTGTCCACAATCAAAGATCTTGTAGACTTTTAGTCCAATGGTCATTTGTCCGAAATCATGTTGGATAAGAAGTTGGTCATTTGCCGGAAAATTTGTAATTACATGTACTGGTTAGTTATTCAGGTAAGTCAGTTAGGTAAAAACCAGTCACTCAAAGTTGGAGAAAAAATGAAAATATTCTATTATTAATTTTCATATATTGATGGAATTATGGGAAAGTTTAGATGCAAAAAAGACATTGTTTATATGTCTTTAATCCATACATGTAAAGCTGAAACATGTTCTTATTTATTAATCAAGGCACTGTAATTTTTCATACAAGGTCAAAGTTCAAGGTTACATCTTGATATCACATGTATACATACTTTAAGTTATTTATTATATCTATTCTACATTATCTAAACTGCTAGAAAAGTCTTTCATTCATTTTTCTGCACTTGATTTATATCCTTATGGCTTAATAATACTTGTTGTACTTTCAAGTTCAAGGTCAATGTCAGAGATCAAATTTTTTATAATGGTTAAGGATATGTATTATACTCTAAAGTACAGGTGATTAAATAAAGCAGAATTTATCATCTGATTATACTAAGGAGTTTGAAAATCCAAAAATCAAAGTGTGCTCTATAAAATCCCCAGGGGGTATGCCTGTGGGGGGATGGGGCTTCGGGTGACAATTTACTAGTGACTAATGATAGCTTTTGTTATATTCCAAATTTTCTTCCATATTCCATTGAATTAACTTACTATATACGTATTTCAAATATTTTAGAATATATATTACAATCATTATGTGGTGACAAGTTAAAACCAAATTATAAGATATCAAAACCCACAATCTTATCTCTGAATTAATTCATAGTCATAGGGTTTCAGGGGAGCAGGCTTCATATTTGATTAAGTAATTTTAAATGATTTTTATTGACTTTAATTTCAGTAATGTCACATATTTACGCATAAATTACATTACAGTAACATTGTGACCTCGCAATTTTATTGACATGTAATTGCCTAATAGAATATCACTTACATACTTGTTGTCATAGGATACAGTAACATGGCAGTTTGTCACCTGGCAATGTAAGCTTATATGTGCAGACATGAACATATATAATACAGCAGCTTTTCTCACGTTCTGACATATGACTTGGCAGTTAATAAGGTGTGAAGGCGTGATCATTCGGGCTTACACACCCGTTTGTGTTATTTTATCATAATTCATCCCCATGAATATTTTTGTAATTTGAGATACCCATTACTTAAGGAGACAATTATTTTAGATATGCCAGGAAAGAAATACAGTTTAATACTGAAAGATTTAATTTTTCATAGCTTGCAACTTTGATGTGTGGTCGACTGGTTAAGAAAGTTGTTGTCAATTGTTTAGGAGTACAATTGCTGGTTTGTGGTGTTTTGCTGGTTTGTGGTGTTTTTCAGGTACCTTGAATAATCAGGTTGATGGTGTTCCATAAGTACCTGAAATTATCTGATTGGCACACCTAGGTTGGTAATGGTCCTCTGAGATCCCCTGAAATAAATTAGATTGGGCACTTGGCCTCTTCATGATCTATACAAATTCAAAAAAAGTACCATGAACTTGAAAACTAAAAAGTTCAATATTCCTGCTTATTTGAGATATAAATTGAGACAAAAGTATAAATAAGTAATAATGTGAAGGTTAGTGCCCCTGTAAAGTAACATGACCAATTTAAATAATTCTCCAATCTAGATTGCATTACAGATCATCATGTTTGATCTCAGGTCCATTAACGAGTAGAACAAGTGCTCCTCCAGACATTTCAATTAGATGTAAAATCTGATATTTTCAAACCATTCTTCATCACAGTTTGACTTACAAAAGGTAACAAATTCTCTCAGTAATTTAGGTACAAGGTACAGGGAAGATATTTTTTCAGGCAATTACAGAATAGATAGATTTGCTCTGTGATGATATTCTCTGTGGGATTATAGTCAGTCACAGTTTCTGCATATAATTGCCGTCTTGCCAAGAGGCTTGCTTGATCAGAATGTGAGATTCTGTCAGAACAGTGCACAAAATTTGCAACTTTTGTTGCCGGGTGTCTAGCCCTGTCATTTAACTGATTTGGCAGTAAGTATTTGTTATTTATCTGATAAGACCAGGGAAACACTAGACCAATTTATCATTCTAGATTAATTCTAGACAAAATCTATAATGTTTGGTCCATTTGTGAGAGAAAGTCTGTGACAAAATAGGAAATATATCTCTATATTTGAAGTAGATCTGTAGTGTTTGACAAATAAAAAAGAAACATCATCTCATAATTGAGCCGCGTCATGACAAAACCAACATAATGGGTTTGCTACCAGCATGGATCCAGACAAGTGGAGAAACTGACAACGAACAGCATGGATCCTGATCAGACTGCGGGGATGCGCAGGCTGGTCTGGATCCATGCTGGTCGCAAACCATTACGTCGGTTTTGTCATGACGCAGCTCAAATATAAAAGAAGCATCTCATATGACTTCATAATAAGATTCAATATCAGAAATCGAAATCGCTCTATGTTTTACATAATGATATAGAATGCATAGACTAGGATTAATAATTAATTTAGACATTTAGGTTTTATTTGACAGATATCACGAACTTGTCAAATTAACAAATGACAGTTGACCCTTCTGTTCAAATAATTGATATAATTAATTTAAAAGCATATTGGTATCATTAAAGTGTTTGAAAATTAAACTTCCTTATGGTAATGTTGTTCTATTGGTTATTGCTATATTTATGTCACATGAACAAGGTGTTTTCCTCGGAAACTTAAATTAAAGCAATGTGGTGAAATCGATTTTTTTGGTTTTCCTAAAATAACAAGTATGTCAATTTGATGATCTGTAACTTTAAATCATTGGTGCAAATGTAATACAATTGGATTGATTGATATTCTTTGAAATAAGGATGTTGGGAAAGAGGAATTAATTATGGTAATGATTTAATATAGCATTATGATATTTATTTATGGAAGAAATCACCACTTGTGTAACATCTTTACTGGATATTGAACCCTTACCTGGTTTGGTTGTATATAATAAATACTTGTCCTGCTTTAATGTAAATTTGGAACAGAAAATAAAATACAAATTTAAGACGTCAAGAGACTAAACATGTATTTTGGCAGTAAGCCATTGGCAGGACATCGTCTGCTACCCACGGTATACATTCCGAACATGCTACATTATCTAGGGTTATCCAAAGTATATATTTGTACATACTACATTATCAAGGGTTACCCACGGTATATATTCCGTACATGCTACATTATCAAGGGTTACCCATGGTATTTATTCCGTACATGCTACATTATCAAGGGTTACCCACGGTATATATTCCGTACATGCTACATTATCAAGGGTTACCCACGGTATATATTCTGTACATGCTACATTATCAAGGGTTACCCACGGTATATATTCCGTACATGCTACATTATCAAGGGTTACCCGTGGTATATATTCCGTACATGCTACATTATCTAGGATTACCCACGGTATATATTCCGTACATGCTACATTATCTAGGATTACCCACGGTATATATTCCGTACATGCTACATTATCAAGGGTTACCCACGGTATATATTCCATGCCATCTACATTATCAAGGGTTACCCACGGTGTATATTCCGTACATGCTACATTATCTAGGATTACCCACGGTATATATTCCGTACATGCTACATTATCAAGGGTTACCCACAGTATATATTCTGTACAATAATTACTACATTATCAAGGGTTACCCACGGTGTATATTCCATACATGCTACATTATCTAGGATTATCCACAGTATATATTCCGTTAATGCTACATTATCAAGGGTTACCCACAGTATATATTCCATACATGCTACATAATCTAGGATTATCCACAGTATACATTCCATACATGCTACATTATCAAGGGTTACCCACAGTATATATTCCATACATGCTACATAATCTAGGATTACCCACAGTATACATTCCATACATGCTACATTATCAAGGGTTACCCACAGTATATATTCCATACATACTACATTATCTACATAATGTAGTATGTACGGAAAATATACTGTGGGTAACGGATGATGTTGGCAGGAAGACTAATGTATCCCTTATAAATGCAGGTATCTTTAGTAATTATTTAATTGTTGAATATTTTCAGGTTGTTGGTCAGAGCAAGGTAAAGTGTACAAGAATGGTGAGACATGGAAGGAGGGTGACTGTGTAACTTGTCGATGTGTGAATGGCAAGAAACAGTGCCAGGCGGAGATGTGCATGAAGACCTGTCTCAGTCCAAAATATGTCCCTGGCAGATGCTGCCCTATCTGTGATAGTAAGTGATTTACTCTACCCAGTTGTAATCTTGTATAGTAATTTGTCATGATTCGTTCTCGTAACATTACTCACTAGTGCTAAATATTTTACTCTTTTCATTGTCCAAAATATGTTAGTATAAGGCGCATCTATCCAAAATATCTTAATTTAAGGAATCCATTTCCAATAGAATTATATTAGTATAAGGAACAACACTGTCCAATATATGTAAATACAAGGGGCACCACTATCCAGTATATGCTAGTATAAGTGCACCACTGTCCTAAATTAATAATTAATGTTATTATAAGGTGGTATGAAGGTTAACTTTTTTACTAACTATTTTACTAACGTGAAGGCTACCCTTGTCATAGAGTTCTTATAAATTGTCTGTCTGCTATTATAAATGCTTACTCTTGTCACAATGCAGATTTGTCACTGTCAGGTGCTAAGAACTTTTCCTTTTTGTGATTCAACATTTGTCACTGCCATTGCCAGGTTTTAGTCTATCATTTGGTTGTAAGTTTGTAAGTTTCAGCATTTTGTTTCTGACTGCAAATTGCGAATTGTTTTATCCTTATTGCTCTCTCAAAAAATGTCATTGCTAGCAATGTGCTTTGCTCAGGTTACAGTCCAAATTATGTTTTTGCCATGTGCAAAGTTTTTTTTGGTCATAATCCAAAACATGTTTTGTCAAGTGTTTTGCTGTTGTCAAAATTTGTCAAGTGAATGTGTTTTACTCTTGTCACAGTCCCAAAATGTCATTTGCAAAAAGCTTTTTATTTTATATGCATGTAGCCTAAGAAAGTACCTTCAATTCAAAAGCTACTATTAAGTTAGAGAGATTATTTTCAGGATCCATGATGTTCACTTACCAACTCTTTTACAAGTAGAGAAACCGATAGCGAACAGCATGGATCCTGATCAGACTGTGCGGATGCACAGGCTGGTCTGGATCCATGCTGGTCGCAAACCCATTATGTTGGTTTTGTCATGAAGCAGCTCATTTATTAAAACTCACAGAAGCACTTATTTAAACATATAGCCTCATCCCAAACATTCTTTTAAAACTTATTTTGTCTAGAAAAATCTTAATCAAATTAATTCCAAAGCCTCCTTTGAGTGATTTGAAGGGTTCAATGATAAAACAACTTGAAAATTTACTTTTAAGATCATGGTTTTTTATCTTGTACATAGATACGTGATAGTGGGTTTATTAACTTATCTGTCAAAACGTTAGATAATTTACACGTTTTTTAGGTTTAGAGTAATTCCAGTGAGAGATTCTGTTTAACTGGCAATAAAACATAGATTGTCGGAAATAAAAAATCTTGTACAGATATGATGGTAGGGAATTATTGTTTTCATTTACATATATAAGCATTATTTTATTGCCTATGAAAATGGCTTTATTTGCTTTGATGTGAAATGTCTGGTAGCTTTATCTGTTACTAAATTGGTGTCAATTACCTTATAAATCAGTGATCCTCAATTGGCTTATCTTTCACAAGCAATTGGTAACTTTCCTATCATAAATACACATTTATCATATATAAACATTAAAACAAATGTACTTAAATATTGTTTAGGAGAAGTTTTTTCACCTGACATTGTTTATAAAATGAATATAAATTTGAAATATTTTAAACTTGGTCAAAGAACTAGCATTTGCTTAATATATTTGATAGCTTATCAATTATCACTAAATCTTTTTCACTGATTTTGTGTAATGCATTAGAGAAATTGTATGCAACTGTGTTTGGTTAATTTTAGAAATTTTGGACCCAAAATATGAAAATTGAGAGTATTAGCACCAGTCAGTTTTTGTATTGTTTCCAAAATAAAATTTAATAAAAAAAAATAAATAAAAAAGGGATTATGATTAATTGTTTGGTCATTTAAGCAGGGCTCATTTGTTTGGTCATTAAAGAGGTGCTCATTTACAGGTGGAAGTGTCAAACTGTAGTTATGGCCCCTGTCACTCAAAACATTATTTAATGTTCCTTTGCCTAAAAGATTCCAATGAATCTTTGAATTCTGTATCCTGCAACATTAGACCAAATATTTCTGGTATGTAAGGCTATTAAGGATTGTTTTGTTGGTAAAATTTATTTTTGCCCTTTCAAAGTAAAAAAAAACCGGAATCTGAATTTGTTTTTGCCCTTTCCAAAAAAATTGGAATCTGAGTTTAAGTTTGTCATTTTTTTTCTTTTAATAATGAAAGATGCTTTATGTTGCAGGCAGTTGTTATACTGTATTATTTATATATATAAGATAAGAACACAAATATATTTATTTTCAAGTATAATCTAAGAGGCTTATGAATGGTTTTACATTAAACAGGTAGACTCTGGATCTCACATTGTGAACACCAAAAAACTACAATCAGAATCCATTAGAAGCTTACAAGCATGTTACATTAATTTTATGATATTAATAACAATAAGTTATTATGTTTGTATATAAACTCATTTATTGCCAATAAAAAGACCATGTGTCTGGTAGGTAGACATCAGTTAAACATGCCAGCTTGCACATTTTACTGTGAACTGTCCCCTTGGTGTGGCACAGAGAGATAAATCAAAAGGTATTTAACAAAAATATGCATATCATTAGAGTAGATGTCATTAATGGACACAGTATATGTCAGATTGCAGTTGTGGCTCAAATTTTTTATATGTAAGTGGCAGAGTATGGGAGGAATTTGGGGCTCCGGTTACAATTATGGTCACTTTAATGACTGTCTGAAGTATATTCATGACTAGATGGTGATTACAATATATTTAACCTGCATTAGGAATGTGTCTTTGTCTACCTGATTGACTGTATGAATGAGATCCAGTTGTGTAAATGGTTAGTCATTACCCAATCAAATATATAGTACAGTGCTTTAAATAATTCAAGAAGTATCAAGTTGTATAGATGATATCATTAAGTAAAAATGATACCCACTTGTTGAAAACAGGTACCAGGTCATGTACATTGTAAGAACCCAATCATGGATACCAAGTTCAAGCAGAAGGTCACCAAGTTCTGGAAATGGTACTAAATTAATTCATGTAATCATTAGTAATCATATCATAAGTTGTATACATATATAAATATGATACAAGCTGTGGAAATGAGTACTGTATGTGGAGAAAAAATTATGAGTACTAAATCAGGTACCTTTAACTAATTATGTAATTGGTACCAAGATATAATATATAGTATGGTACCTAATTGAGCAATTGCAATCAATTATGTTAATAGTATACTTAATAATGATTATATTTTAAAAGACTTCTAATATGTATAATGGTACCCAATTATGTTAGTGCAGGTACCCAATTAAGGCAGGTGCACCTAATGCAGATGTTTTTTATAACACTACACTCAGAAAGATATCTAGAATAATATAAATCATTTTAAAACTTGACATACAAGATTTTACCGGTGGAAATTGGGTGGAGTACGTTGTAAACAATAACCAGGAATGCAGGTGCATATGACGTAAGAATCAACAATTAAAATACAAATAAACTCTATGTATGTTTGTTCAATTGTTTCTTTTTAAACACTTATTTTGTCCTGAAGGAAACTTGGATAAGAAAAATGAAAATACAAAACATCGATCATTGGATTAATCATTAGAATACTGTCAGGAAATTTACAATTTAAATCAAACCCGATTTAAAGAAAACGAGATAAGCTGTATAATTTGGCTATCAGTTTTTTTCACATTAATCAAAAAAGGTTGCGAGATGATGGCAAAACAAGACATACATACGTCAGAGGTCGTCAGAGGTTGTTTTATAATGTTCCCTGCAGATACAGATCAGTTTCATGTTTAATCATGTAATCTTGTCGGCTACAACAACATCATTATTTACAGACGTAATATGACCATTTAAGTCTTTCTTTTTTTGGTAGTGTTGCGCCTTGACTTTCATTGTTTTGAGGTTAAGATTGAGAACGACTGAATATCCAGTTTTTGTATTTTCAACCTAAATAATTATGTAGCCAAGAATTCTTATTATGGACTTTTCCTGCGTTAATGTTGAAAATCGATCGGTACATTGTAAATTTTAAGGATTTCTATTTCGTGTTATTATTCAACCCTTAACTTACTGAATATTTTAATGAACCTGTCCATCTTTTAATCTTGACAAAACCAGTTATCATTTTTAGGCAAAACGTACCGACTGAATGGCCAACAGTGTAGACCATGATTAGATGGCACGGATGTGGAGGCTGAGCTTGGTCCACTAACAAAGTTCTATGCTCCTGCGTTTATGAATAAATTATGCAAATGAGCCGCCATGTTGGTGTTTCGATAAGCGTGTTGGGAATTGCTACCTGTTCGTTTTGAAAGCTCGTCCTAACTTACAATTTCCTTGAATGTATGAAAACTTGGTTTTGTTTGATTGCATATTGAATGATAGGTATTGCAAAATAAATATAATGAAAATCAATCAATGAATAATTGTATACGAGCGTTATAAAGTCAATTTAATTCGTCAGAATAATAAGGTTTTGTTGCAGGGTATCGGTAAAAGACTGCTTTTTTTCCCCGTTTTTGAAATTTATTTGAACACGGAGACAATTTTTCTCAAACAGATTTATGAATATACTTTACGTTGCAACAGAGTTTACCGTGTGTCCATTCCTTATTTAAATTGTCTGAGAAGTTAAATCTGTTTGTTTACATGTAAATGTGTACCGTCATTTTGACCGAGTGGAATAAAAACTACCATGACGGTGATAATACCGGATATGTAATGAAAATTACGCCGTGTAGTGCAAAGTTTTGGACATTGCAATTAAAATTAACACTTACGTTGACTCAAACTGTTCCTTGTCAGCAAAATTGAAACCGAAAGTAGAGGTTGTTCTAGAATTTAATCGAATAAAATGGGTGGGATTTAACCACCGCGCATGCCCTGTGCGAACGTATTGTTTACATCCGGTCGTAGCATAGGGTAAGAGTGCAAACTTTGTTAGTGTGGTCTGCACTGGTTGCATGGGTAGATTCAGTTG